TTTATGGAATATATATATATATATATATATATATATATATATAATATTTGACAATTATGCATGAAATTCGATACAAATTTAGAATTAAATTTGGAATCATATTATTGAAATAAATATTTTGATGAGACTATTCTACCAACATCAAATTGCCTTAATTCAAACAGAAATAATATTAAGACTTTGGCTTTGTTTGGAACGACTTTATTATTATTTCTTAAAACAGTTTTTTGATACAAAAATTTTAATTTTTTACTAGAAAGTTATTTTAAGAAGTATAAAAAAAGTCGTAAAAAATAAAGCTTTTATTTGAGACAACATTCTTACTACTTTCTAGTAAAAAAATTTCTAGTTCAATAAAATTTTGAACTAAAAAATTGTTTTAAAAAACAATAAGAAAGTCGTCACAAACGAAGCCTAAATTAAGTAGTCGAAACATTGTTGAAATTTTCATGATATTGTTTGAAGGATTAAGTGATCGGTGAATTTTGCGTGCTTACAGTCAAAAGAAGGGACGGGGGTGGGGGAGGGATTTCATTTAAAAAGTTATGTCTATTTATAATATTTTGGAGAGATGTTTTAATTATTTAAACAAAACACAAAAACATTTCATCAGATATCTTATATTGATTCCCTGGATCATAAATTATATTATATGCATTTATGTTTCTAATTTGTAGCATCAGAATTGCGTGATTTTGAGCTCATTCGATTCCTTATGTTAAAACACTCATTCAATTATGAGCATGAAAGATTTGAACATTCTGATTCCTCAAATACTGTGATGCAGTTTTTAATTATATTTCAAGTGCTTGATTTATGTCCATTTGGACTCGATCAAGACAATTTTGCTATTGTTGTATTCATCACATTAAGACAGTTTGTTTCATCGAGAAGTTTGTTGAAAATAAAATTTGAATTATTTAAAGTTGTTCCTAACAATTTTTTATAACCATATTTCGCTAAGATTCTAACTTGATTTGCTGAATTTCTTGATGATGTATTAATTACATTAAGTTAGATCATTGTCATGCCTTAAAAATGATGAACACACTAATAAAATTTGCTAAAATTAGATCAAAATGGACCCCTCTCCAAATTTTTCTAAAATTTATTCCTTCAATAAACAAAAATAATTGTTATTATTATAAAAATAAGATCAAATCATATTTATTAAATTTATGTAATATTTAATATACTCAATATACATATCTTGTACTATTTTAGTTATTGTGATATCGCCAAATTATTTAATGTACATTCATTGCATTTATGCAGTATCTAATGCTATTTATAACTCACACTCTAGATCTGAAAATTACTGTAGTTTGTCTTAATTAATAAATACTAAATTTTAGTTTAATATTCATCTTTTCTCTCTTTTTTTTAATTAATTTAAATATATATTAGATGAGAAAATAGCATCTTTTATCATGAAAATAATTGTAAGGTTAAAAGCTAATTTCAAAATAAGGCTCTTAAATTTATATATTATAATCAACAGTTTATTAATTAGTATAAATGACTAATTAATGGATAGTATCTTTCTCTCTGCTAATAAATAGAACGAGTTGAAAAGATAATAAAAAGAAAAGAAAAAAATTCTTTCACTTTAGGTCTTGAGATGTTATACTTACTTTCTCCCTAAAAAATCATCCCCACTAGACTCTTCTATAGGAACAACCTACTCGGGTCAACTCGCCGTGATCAATGAACTTGAGAGCTCTCCATCAGGCGCCAAAACACCTTACTCGTTGGCAAAATCACGAAGCTAGTCAACAACCGGTTCATTTTAATCTCAGCACTCACCATCATTTACTCGGCATCACTGAGCTCGCCAAAACCTTCTGACCTCCTTCAGTTAATCAAGAGGTGTCACATGTCTATGATGGTATGTATTATTGTACGGATGTTCCGTGTAATTATAGTTTTTACTTTTTCATTTGTACAATCTTTTCTGTAGTTTTCAGAACCTTATAAATAAAGAATGCTAAGAAATAATTGAGAGGACTTTTTTTGTACTTTTTTTTAATAATGTAGTGAATATTATGTCACTTTGAGATATTTAATTTTCTTGAGTATTCTTTTGAAATTCCCTCTACTTTCTGTAGTTTTCGATTTATTAGTAAGGTAAATAAATTTAGACAAAACAGTACATATTTTTATCAATTTAAAAGAAATATACTAATTTTAAAGCTCAGGAAATATTCTTCTCAGGCAACAAACCGCAACTCTGGGAGCACTGTGCGTGACGGTACAACCGGATAGAACCAGTATCTCACATGCGCCCACCGGCATCTGGCGGTTCCTAACTTTAAATCATTCCACCACCTCTCTCACTCTCCTTTCTCACAGCTTCTCATAATCATTCCACCGGACATATTTTCTCATAATCTTTCTATCCCTTCCGCATCTTCTCCATCTAGCGTTTCGGAGGATCTTGACAGATTGCTCATCGCCAGATCTCTCCTTAGATGGACTTCGTTCTTCTCCTGATTGATGCCTACTTGCCGCAGTAGACCATCTATCCTTGTCGTTTTCCAGGGCAGAGTTTTCTAGGGTTTTGTTGCGGTCTTCTACTCCAGCTCATGGGCGTGACTTCAACGGAAAACGAGCAAAGTCAAGCCTTGATGTTGGCGTTGCGTTCTTGCGTCAACAATGTTACCATAGATCTCAGCTTTTTCAACACGGAGCATTGGTAAACCCTAGTCTGCTAGGGAAGATTTAAACCTGCTATCTGGACTCAAGAAGCAGGGGCATTAGAAGGTTTCTTTGAATTTCAGTACTTGACTCTTATTAGAGTAAAATTTTTCGACATGTCTGGAGCGCCCAAGGTCCGATCCATGAATGTGGCAGATTCAGAAGCTAGGCCAGTTCTCGGACCCGCTGGAAACAAGGCAAGGTCGACATCAGCTGTGGCTCGCAAGGCGGGTTTGAAACCACTGAGAAAAATAGAGGGAGATGAGACTTTGTTAAAGGAAGATAAAAAGGCGGCTCCTTTGGTTGTAGATTCACATCCTCTCTCGCCTCAAATGAGTGCTCCGGCGGTTCTGAAGAGACAAGAACTACTACTGCGCTCTAATTTTTCACTGAATGCTTCTTGCTCTTCGGATGCATCAACAGATTCATTTTGCAGTAGAGCTTCGACTGGGAGAATAGGAAGGGGGAGCTTTTCTGGCAGGAGAAGGCAGGGTTTTGCAAAGGCTGAGAAGATTGTTGCGAAATTGGAGAGGGTTGTACCTGACGGTGCTACGGTGCGGCCAGAGGAGAACTTGTTGGGGAAGAAGAGGTGTGCTTGGGTAACGCCAAATAGTGGTTTGTGACATTGTTATCTCTCACTCTTTTTCTATAGATGCTTGTAATTTGATTTATTGCTCGTATCATGCTATCATTTAGGTAATTTTACTTCTGTAATATAAGATTTGAGAAAGCCTAGTAATTTTCGCTAATAATTTGTTTCTCAAATCCAAATAAAATTTTCTGTAATGGGTGCGACCTTTTTTCCTTTTTTTAAAATTAGCTCTAGTTACGTTTGAAACCTGACCTGGAAAGGAAAAGGTAAAGAAGAAGTGTTTGGTTTTTATCTATATATAATTATTTGTGTTGGTCGTTACCTGTGATCTGCAATAGGGATATCAGAGTTTGAAATCTCTAAAAAAAAGGTATTTTAGTTAAGACTTCAAAGATGATATCTTTCTTCTGCTTCAAATGTATTGCACTTATTTCAAAGGAAAAAAAAAATTTCAGGGGTTTTCTTAAGGGAAGTGAGCTTTGGCTTTCACTTGAAATGTTGATCTTGTGGTAGCTAAAACTAATGATTTGAAAAGGATAATTGAGTCTAGATCATACATTTGTGCCTACTTGAGGTATGGATATAAATAAAGTGGGAGATCTGATCTTAACATTTGCTTTGGAACTTGGGTGTTTTGTGCATCTCAACAATGCCTATTAGCAATAATCAGAGCTTACCAAGCAATGGCCATTCTTGGGATAAATGAGCTTTTGCACACCAAACTAGGCAAGTTAGGCAATCACACACAAAATGTTATCATTCTGGATATTCTATTTGATTTCACTTTCTGGCTGAAATATTTTTTGCAAAACTTCTTGGTTTTTGTATTGGATATGGCTAAGCTATGCGGCAGAATCAAATTGGATACAAAATATGCTGCTCTGACCAAGAAAAATCCCATATTAATCTTATTTAAGATTCTCATCTGACCAACCATCACATAATTCGATTAGGAGATTGAGGATTGTAAATAGGAATGATGATAGAACATATCTAAGGAAGAAATTAATCTAATTTGAAGCCATGGAAGACTAGTTTCAAATACTTGATATGAATAGGAGGACCGGTGATCTCTTATTAGGAATAAAGTCTTTGATCAAAATGTTTCTTGTTTATAATATACGCTTCTTCACACGGTTCTTGTAGTCGGATTATCAGATGTTGATTTAGTTTCTTCTTACAGATCCCGCGTATGTGGCATTTCATGATGAAGAATGGGGTGTTCCTGTTCATGATGATGGGTATGCAATCTCAACTCCTTCATAATCTTTAACCCTCTTCTAAGAAACTCGAAAGATTTTCCAGTTCCTAATAATCTAAATACTGTACAGGAAGCTTTTTGAATTGCTTGTTCTATCAGGTGCTTTAGCAGAACTCACTTGGCCGGTGATTCTTAGCAAAAGGCACATATTTAGGTAAGCTAATTTGTTCAGTTCACATCAACTTCAATTGCTCGCTAATCAACCTTTCATCTCTTTACAGGGAAGTCTTCATGGAATTTGACCCCATGTTGGTTTCAAAAATCAATGAGAAGAAGCTAACAGCTCCAGGAAGCCCTGCAAGTTCCCTTCTTTCAGAGCCAAAATTGCGCGGGGTTGTCGAAAATGCCCGAATAATTCTCAAGGTTCACATTCATCTCTTTCTCTATTTCTTTTTACTGTTTTGTAGTACAACGTTTTCCATTGATATAGACACTAGAAGAGTAATGTCTAGGACTATAAAGGCTAATATTTGAGCTTAACTAAAAAGCCAATCTTTCTATTTCCCTTCCTGCTTTGACAGCCATTTGTGGTCCAGGTTCCCAAGTTGGATCACTGTAGTTAGGAATTGCCTTCATGCTACTGGAGCAAACTAAACCAAGCGTCTACAACACATGGCAGCAATTTATTGCTGTCTGAATTTTAGTTGCACTGGCTTTGTTTAGTATCTTATAGCTTTTTTTTTTAACTTGGGCTTGGTTTGGGACTTTATTGCTTCTTAAAGCAGTTTTTTAGTATAAAAATTAAAATTTATGTATTAAAAAGCTGCTTTAAAAAGCAATAAAAAAGCCGTCCCAAATGAATCCTTAATCATAGAAATTTTTTATTCTAAACTCAATAAAAATGTGCTTCATGTTCCATCAATAGAGAATCTCAACGCCTCTTTCAAGTAAGAGAATCTTACCCCTTCAATTTAAAATATTATTTTACTTCATAATGAAAATAAATTATAGTTGCTTCCATCTAACTAACTTCCTATTTGAACAATTAGATAACTTTCTATTTTATAAGATCTTTTTGAAATATCAGACAATTTTGGAGAAAGAGGCTTATTGATTTATATAATCTTGACTTAGCCAATTGGATTTATATTTTTCATTATTTTTTCAAACCAAAATCTCAACAAAATCCCATTGTTTATAAGCCTTGTTAATATTTAATTTTATGTTAATTAAAAAGATGAAGATGCTTAAATTAATTTATCAATTTAATGAATATAAAGTATAATCACTACATGACTTCAAAATTTTCTAGCTTTAACTAAAACCAGAACATTTGTATGATTTCTGCAGATCATAGAGGAGTTTGGATCATTTAACAATTACTGCTGGGGCTTTGTGAACCAAAAACCAATTACAAGCAGATTCCGATATCCCCGTCAAGTACCGGTGAAGACGCCGAAGGCCGATTCGATCAGCAAGGACTTGGTTAGGAGGGGTTTCCGGTGCGTCGGGCCTACGGTCATCTACTCCTTCATGCAAACGGCAGGGATGACCAATGATCATCTCATTGGCTGCTACCGGTTCGACGAATGCTGTGCCGCCTTTAATCCTGCTGACCATGTTGCTTCCGGTTGCATCAATGGAGAAGAAGCTGAGGTGAAGGTAAATGGTGATAAGAATGAAGAGAAGAGGATTGATGGTGAACTTGATATTGGAGGTAGTGGTTTGGAGTTTGTTAGGGTTATTGATTCTGTTAGTGTCTCGTAGCAGCTGATTTGAAGGGAAAGGAAGGTGAAGGCAGCCATGTGAGATTGTTTTGAATTTGTGTGCCAGCTTAGACTGGTTCTTATGCCTCTGGGTTTTTATGCTTTAATTTGCAGGGAAAGATATGGTCATCCTGTGTATAAATGTTGAATTCTTGTGCAATTTTAAGTTTGTAGATTTTTTAACCAGTTCAGTTAATTGCTAAGAATCCAGATGTGTTTTGGAGTTGTTCTTTCCATGAAGGCATTTAAGTGCTGAAGCAGCAACAACAACAAGTCTTTTATCTCACTTTGTGGAGAAATTATTCGGTGCAATCATCAAACTATCTAGAGGCGAATCAGAATTTGCCGCATCATCCGATATAAAACGGTACACAACAATAGAGTGATGTGACGCATCATGATTCGTCTCCAGACGACGTGCGGTCAGAATAATTTCCCCTATTTGGGGTTGGCTGCATGATTTTTTTTATCAATTGTGTCATGTTAAGGGTCAAATTCTCATTTAAATTTAATAAAGAAAGATTATTTATACTATTTTCTATTCCTAATCGGGTTATTAAAAGGCTGCCGTTTTATGTGACCAAGCCATTTAAGGCGATTCTCTCTTATCTTGTCTTATGCTGGAGTGAGTTCAAATTTTTTTAAGCATGTGGTATATATGGTCGTTTTGTATCTTATCTCGAAGAGTAAAACAACTTATTCATATGAGCATTCTCATCTCCGTAACATTTAACTTAATATTATACTTCTCTTTTAAAGGCCATCTTGTAAAATTTTTCCTTAAGTTTGAGTTAATATTAATTTTTTAAAAGTTAAATATATTTTTTCTTTTATTTATTTTAATGCAATTGTGATATTTAAACATTATTTAAATTAATTTTAAATTTTAAATTATATATATAACCCCCTAAAATCAAACTAGAAGTTCTAAGAAAATAACCAAAAAAAAAAAAAAAATCAATAATGAGGATTTGTAAAGACATGAAGTAGCTTTTTTATTACTAATTGAAAATGAAAGCTATAGCAATAACAAGGTCTAAAGGGCATATAATTTACACTATGATTCCATAATAAAAAAAAATTTCAACGAATGGTGTAAATTAATATGAAGGAAAGAAGCCATAAATAAAGGAAGAAGAACAGTTTTTATGCATCAGAATAAGAGAAAATAATGGATTGATCACTGTAGATTATGGTTGGCAATGGGCTTTCAAACTAATCACTTCCACATTAAAAATGTTATATTATTGACCCTACATTACCTATCTTAGGTGATTGGTGAAGCATTAACATCAGAAGAAATGAAGCATCAACACTATATTTTTATGATCAATAAAGTGATGAGCGTTGAAATTTTGAAGTATTTGGAATTTATCATTTAGGCTTCGTTTGGTTATTCGGTACTTTTGTAAAAGACGGTTTTAAGAAACATTGGTTCAAAAAAAGGAGTCATTTAACGGAGAAAACATATATAAAAAGCTTTCTCAAAATAACAAATAAATGAACAAAATGATGTTATTGAGAACGTGGTTTGAGCTAGGAACTAAACAATAAAAAAGAAATAACTTTACCATTTTGAAAAGGAATAAGCACAAAAAACGCTCAATCAAACTAGGCCTTAGTTCAATTTAAGTGTATTTGAATATCATTAGATTTAACTTAGTTCATTATATTGTAAGGTGTTTGTCACCGCTGCCTCGGTCGTCTCCTCCAACAGCTATCCTTTGCCGGCCGCCACTGCCACCAGCCTCCACCCACCGTTGGTCGTCGTTGTTGCCTCAGGTGCCCTTACCTGCTATCGCCAGTCACCACTTCCACTGGCAGCTGTCCCCGATGTCATCGCTGTCATCTTTAAGTTTTACATTACATTCATTTCACTTTAAGTAAAAAAATAATAATAATTACATGTATTTATTTAATGCACATCTAAGCGACTCTAAAAGATTTTAAATACATTGTATTCCTTTTAATGTGTACTCCTTTTGCTCGGCATTTATATACTAATTTTAGCACATAAACTTATAATAATGTAGTTTATATATTAGATTTTTTTTTTTTTGATAAATCTTATTTTGGCAGGCTAAGGATAAATTATAATTGAAATAAGTTCAATAATTTTAATTTTAATTTAATAATGTAAAATTTCATCTCGAAATTTAAAATAAAGCCATATAAGATATATACAGTTCTTATAAATCCGGTTCTCTACTAAGGGCTAAATAGAGCTTGCAGGCCTTTTTTGCTCTAGTTTTCTTCTATTTTGATGCCTTGGTACTGACCAAGCTAAGAAAAAGGAAAAGACTTGAAATCTTATTTAGTGGCCGTTTTTAATCACTTTTTTTTTTCTTTGGATTTATTTTATTTTATTTTTATGTATATTTTAATTTAAAATAAATATTGTTATGCCTTTAAAATACATTTATTTATTTATTTATATGTTGTCTGTGGAGGGGGTAGTCATTAGTGCAGCAGTAATGGTGGCTGTCAGTGATGGTGGTGATGATAGAGGTGACTAGTGGTGATAGTTATTTTTAAAAATATTCAAAATATCTAAATTTATGATATTTTGAATATTTTTAAGAATGCTTTAATTTATTATCAAGAAAAAAATAAATACAATTAAAAAATATACAGAAAATTGTTTGTTGTCACTTTTGCTTGTTTATTTTTTAAAATATGTTGTTTAACATTTTCTTTAATTATTTTTATATTTTAGTTTTATAAATGAATCAAATTGTTTTTTAAAAACATTCAAAATAACCCAAATTATTTTGATGTTTTTAAAAATGACTATCACAACTGGCTGCCATCACCACTATCAGTGGCATCATTCACCATCATCATAAACATCATCTTGAATAGCTGCCACATTTACTTTTTTTGAACAATAATTTTTATTATATTTTTAGTTTTAATCAACAATATTATGTTTTTTATTTTGAAAATAAATATTTATATTTTTATTGTTGTATTATTAAAAAAAATTTGAAGAGGCTTTAAAGAAAATGAAATATGAAAAAACAGTAGGATCATATGAGATTCCAATAGAAGTATGAAAATGCCTTGGGGATCAAAGAATTTATTGGCTTATTTAATTCTTTAATATTATTTTAAAAACTGAAAATATGTCATGTGAGTGGACAAATAGTATGTTGATTCATAATTTTAAGAATAAAGGTAATGAACAAAAATGTGCAAATTGCAAATGAATTAAGTTGATGTATCATACATTAAAATTATTGGAGAGTAATGGAGCATAGATTATGATGTGATAGTAATGTTTCTCAAAATTAGTTTGAATTCATGCTTGATAGGTCTACTATTGAAGTTATACATTTGTTGACAGGTTTGATGGAAAAGTATAGAGGGAGTATGAAGGGTCTACGTATGATATTTATTGATTTAGATAAAACATATGATAAAGTTCTAGAGAAGTGCTCGGGAGAGTTCTAGAAAAAAAAAATGTTAATAATGTTAATATTCAAGTCATTAAAGTATATGTATATAAGAGCTAATACTAACGTTCAAACATAGGGTGGTATGATTAAGTATATATCTATTTGACTATTTCAATTGGATTACATATCGAAGATCAACTTTAAGCTCATATCTTTTTTGCATTAGTTATGGATGTTCTTACAACACATTTGCAAGAGGATGTACCTCAGTGTATGCTTTTACTGATTATATTCTTTTGTTGAAAAGACTATGCACAGAGAGAGTTAATGAAAGACATGAATTATGGAGGTCAACTTTAGAGTTTAAAAATTTTTATTTGAGTAGATCTGAAATCAAATACCTAGAGTGTAATTTTAATAGTAATAGATAAAATGTTTTATATATCTTAAGTATGTTGTTCAAAATGATGATGAAATATATTGGGATATTATTAGGAGAATTCAATTTGAATGGTTGAAGTGGAGGACTGCATTGGGCCTATATTATGATAGAAAAGTGCTCCTCAAGCTTAAGGGAGGTGACACTTAGAATACTTTATGGTGTAGAATGTTGAAGTGGAGGACTGCATTGGGCCTATATTGTGATAGAAAAGTGCCCCTCAAGCTTAAGGGAGGTGACACTTATAATACTTTATGGTCTAGATCAAATGTTTGACACTAAAAGAGAAGCATAATATTAAGTTTAGTGTTGTAGAGATGAGAATGCTTAGGTAAATGAGTAGCTTTACACTTAGAGACAATATGAAATGAGTATATACATGAAAAGATTGGAGTAGCTCAAGTGGTAGATAGGATTAGGGAGAGTCAGCTTAGATGCATGATTTGATCGCTTAAAATGTCAGCCTCCCGATCGATAACCCTATTAGGAGAGTAGATATATTAGATCCAACATATGTTAGAGATAGACCTAAAAATATTTATTAGAAACTATTAAAAAAGACATTTTTTATTATATTTAAATGAAAATTTGACTTTTAATTGAACACAATGGAGAAAAAGGATTCAAATAGCCGGCCACACATAGTGGGATAAAAGCTTATTATTGTTATATTTTTTTTAAAGAAATAAAAAAAATAATTAGATATAAATACTAATATATATTTTTAGTTCATGAATATGTATAACATTCCTGATGTGTTTTATGTAATTATCTTCTTTCTCTTTTCTGTTTTTTTTTTTTCACTCTTAATGATTAAATTAGATTTTGCCTTTCTTCCAATAACATAAACATGCAAAATATAATGATAGTCTTCATCAGTTATAAAAGAATATTTTATACTACAAATGAGGAACAATGATGTGAGTGCAGTACCATCCATAAGAATTCATTTTCTTCTATCCTAAGTGACGAAATTCCTTCAGCACTTCAACTAGCAATCTAGCATCTGGCAATTCAACTATCTTCCTGGTCTCATCAGTCAAGGCGATGCAGAAGGTAATTTACTTCAACTTGCTTGGTAAGAGGAATAACCCATTCGCCATAGAGATTAGAAACAACTGAAGGATCCACCTTGTATTTAGTCGTCTCATTTCCATCTTTTGAGGCTTCTCTTAGAGTTACATTCTGGCCAAATACCTCGGCCTTCTTCTTCACCCTTTCTGTTACTGTTTCTTCAACTGTCTTTGATGTCACCAGTCTTGTTAGAGTTTCAGAATCCTGCATAAATGGTAAATTTTTTGCTTAAGTTGAAGGAGAAGAGTTACTTTCTCAGTGTTTTGCAGCATCATTACGCTAGTATTATGAGAAGGGAATTTCTTGCATTGCAGAGAGATAATCTGCAATACATGAAAATTAAACCTTTGCATGTATTGCAGAGAGGTAATCTGAAGGGGTGTTTCTGAACTTCACTTCGGCCACAAATCTACCATAGTGAATTCTTTTGGAGAGGGCCTGTAAAAATTCAAATCCATTTATTAATAAAAACATCATTACATAAAAAATAACGTCTCAAAGTAGTGCTTAAGTTGACTCAATAGTTGACTCAACTGTGGCCCAAGGGCTATAAATTGGGGCTTGGTTTCAAACAGCTTTCTTACTACTTTCTAAAATGACTTTTTAGTACAAAGATTTCTAATTCAATAAATTTTTTGCACTAAAAAGCCGTTTTAAAAAGCAGTTGCCCAAATGAAGCTGAGTAAAAAAAATAATAATAATCTCTCTTTCTAACGGCAGAAATTTGAATTCTATAATTTTTAAGCATAAAATTTTAATGTTGCGCATAACTACGCAATATTTTTCTTAAAATAAGAGCAGCGGAAATGAAGAAAGATGGTTATTTTCAGCTCTTACCTGCAAACAAATAAGATCTGATGCTGCTGCTTGCTGATAGTTTCCATCATCACCTTCTATGGCTATTAGTGGAAGGAGCTTATTGAAGTACATATCCCATATAGTTCTGCTTACATTAATAGATGAAGCAGGAGGATACAAGATCTACACAAGGAATAGCTGAAATATTTAAGAATCCGTTCGCAGCTCATCTAGGTCTATTTGTTGGGAGCTTTGGCTACTATTCAAGAAGTTATAGGATCAAAATTTATGTATGTGATATATATATATGTGAGTTTGTCTTAATGGCTCTACTATCCCAATATATATATTTAAAAACTATATAGATGATAAATGTTTAATATTTGCAAGAGAGAAAAGTGATTACTTGTGAAAATTTGAAAGGAGGCACTAATGGAAAAGCTTTGTAATCTGGGAAGAAAGGAAGCTCCTCAGGGTTCTGGTATCTTCCAAACTGTAGAATTTTAAACATCAGTACTGATTATATTTTCTTTCTATAAAAAAAAAAATAGTGATTATGGTATATTCTCATCATAATTTGCCTTAAATATTCTGATCATTTTCTTACCAATTATAGCTATTACCATTTTGACTCACAGCATCAGTAATGAAGCAAATCATGCATAGAAAAAACTAATAATTTCTTCTTCTTTTTTTTTGGTATTTTATGGTAATTAAAGCAATGCAATAGCTCTCTTTTAGAGAATTTTAACTGAAATAAATTTTATTTACTTCATCTAGCTAAAAATGTTGCTTAAGCTCTATTTGCTTTGAAGGAATTGATAGAGGAAATGGAATTAATTTTTATACACTTATTTGGTTGAAGAGAAATAAAGTGAAAAATAGTTTGCTTTCTTGTTTGATTGATTAGAGATTTAAGTTATTATTTCTTGTGAGAAAAGAACATGTAAGCATTATATGATATTCTTCTCATTTTTCATTATAAATAATTAGAAATACTAAGAGATTTTCAATTAAAATGATATATTTATGTATATTTTCTAGACAAATTTAATTATTTATTAATTATATTGAAACCAAAAAGTCAATATTTTTTGATTTCTTACTTGATCATTGGAAAAACAAAGCAATAAGCAATTGAAGAAATATATATAAAATAAAATAAAAAACTCACGTTGGCTTCAATAGCCTCTGTGTCCCTGACGAAGGCCTCCACAAGGGAATAATTCTTCAGGCCTAAATAAGAAGGATCGTAAGCAGGATAGTTGTAGGGGTACCTTGCCCTCTCTATAAGGCTGAACACTATGAAATTTTCTTGATCTTCCAAAGAACCTCTCAATGAATCAATGGTAATAAAGCTATCAGATTTAGAATCTGAAACAGAAATACAGTAGCACAATGAAGAAAAAATAAGATAAGAGGAGAGAGAGAAAGTTAATAGCAGATGATGAGGATAATTTGTTCTAGAGTAAGCCATGAGAGAGAGAGAGAGAGAGAGAGCATGAAGGAATAAGGATTGTCGTGATAAGAAGCTTTAAAGCTTAGAAGGCTTCACATGAGATGAGGAAAGCAATGGTTGCATTCTAAAGATAAGAAATAAAAAAAAAAAGGTGAGAATATTTAATATAAAATATACAGAATAAGCTTCAAAATTATTCAATTTATTTTGAAATAAATATTGTAAAAGAGATTTTGTCGTCTATAATAAAAATAAAAATAAATGGTCAACCATTGAATTTCTCATCAATCTCCAATTTTCGTTTTCTGAGAAGAGAAAGTCAAAGGTCAAATCTCTCAAGCTGAAAAGCTTTAATCTTTTCCTGCTTTCATATGTAAAGTTTGGCAATTATTTAACAGAATAATAGTGGAATATTCATAAAAAAAAATAATAATAATAGTGGAATATTCATGAAAGAATTATAAGTCAATTTTTGATATTAAATTTAGGTTTTGTTTGGAAAAACTTTCTTACTGCTTTTTAAAGAAGTTTTTAGTACAAAATTTTTAATTTTGTATAAAAAATTATTTTAAAAAGCAATAAGTAAGCCGTCCCAAACAAAATCTTAGTTTTCAATTTAATAGATAGAAAAATAAGTTTGATAGAAATATTCTAATTATACGATCGAATTTATAGCACATTGATTGAAAAAAAATTTGAGAACTCTGATGGATTGGATTCGAGCACTTATTATGTCTAAAAGAATTCTAATCTCTATTCAATTCTAGAAGATTGACTTAGGCCATTATTATATCTTAGAATTATAATTTTAATTATTGAAAGTTTATTAAGTCAAAAGGATTCTAGATAAAGTTAATTAATCTCCAGCTTAAAATTTTAACTAATTGAAACTATTTAATTAATATGATTTCTGCTTGTTTTTCTTGATGGATTTTCAAAGAGGAATTGTGCCATTTTGCTTCTCTGTAGAGGATGCACGTAATAAGAATTTCTGCTTACAAATATAAATTTTTTTTGTTGAAATTTTTCTAAATTTAAAATTGAAAATTTGAGTCGAGCTAAAATTGAATGAGAGTTGATTTAAATTTGATTAGAAAATATTTTTTAAATAGTGCGCAATATATAGTAAATAATATCATTGATGCGTTATCAAAAAATTTATTTTGTCAAATATAAATTTTAATTCAAAATTTTCATATCTCAAAATATTTAAATAATTGAGTGAGAAATTTCGGTATGATTTGAACTTCATTTTTTAGAAAATTTCGATATGATTTATTTCAAGCTATTTGTGGTGTCATATAGCTTCTTATTTTGACATTTTTCTAGTCAAAATAAGTGTTTGGATGAGATAAATCTGAGTTCAAAATAGTCTAAAATGATGTCATTAAAATTTTATTTGAGACGACTATTTTAATGTTTCTTAAAATAGCTTTCTATTATTAAAATTTTACTTTTTTGTCAAATAACCCTTTAAGAAATACTAAGAAAAGCGTCCCAAACGAAGTCTAAGACACCAAAGTATCTAAAAAGTATTAATGATCTAGTGGGGTATTTTCAAATAGACAAATGGGTTGTTCATGTTTTTTTTTATAGAAATGACTATAATGATGCCATCTTTAAAAAAATTCTATAAATAGATTGTATTCCTACACATTCATAAAAGTAAGATTTGAATGGAGAAAAAAAATGAGATCCATAGATACATCATACACAGAACAAAAGCAATCATCAACCATTATTGGTGTCGTCATCATCATCATCACCTTATGTCCTCCATCGACAAACATCGATGCATATTATTGCCAACGTATATCATTAGTCATTGGCCAACATAGGCATGCATCCATTAACCAACATTGGCTTCCATTGTTGCATACATTTTGATATATATATATTCCTCATTGAGCATCATTTGATCTCAACAAAAAGAAACTAACATCTAATATTCATAAGCCCTTGATGCATGATGCTCATCTTCGCTTTTATTAGGAGAACAATCGAGTCACGAACATATCATCGTTCAACTTTTGATGTTCCTCAACGATTATAAAATGATGCCTACCAATAATTGATGCTCTTTGTATAAGTAAACCAACCACTCTTCTTATAAGAAGATAAATCGAGTCAACCACAGATTGCTGCTCAACTTCTCGTATTTAGTATTTACCATCACTTGACTACTATGAATGACAGACACCTAATTTTCGTCGTCATATAGTATCCCCTCCTATCAAGAGAGCATCTTAGCTAACAATCGGTCGTTACCAAATTCTAACATTTCTCATCCATTGTCACCCAATGCCTACATTAATGCTCAATTTTTGGTTTGTCAGCGACCAACATCTAATGTTAGTCTTATTGGTCATCCAATCACCCCTCATTTCAAGAGAGCAAATGAGCAGACTATTAACTATAACCCAACTATTTATATTCAATGTCGACCATATTATGTAAGTAAAAGCATAATTCCGGCCCTGACTATCGTCCATGCACGCAAAGTTTGATAAATATCTTTCTCTAATTATAAAGTTGATATCGTTGCCTTTGACATTTTGAGCTTTATTGACATTAAGCTGTAAGTCTAGATCCGGAGAACCATATCTCCTTTTGTATTTATATGTGATTGGAATCAAATTCGCATTTGAAGAAGGTTCATGTCAGAATCCAGTGACTTCAAAATTGGCAGCCAAATAAATTTCTCTCTCTAAGGGTCCCTTTGGGAGGAGAGATTATTCTCAGCAATCACCAGATGATTTGGAAGCGAATAAGGATGGGCCATACCACCTGATACACATAACTGGTATACAACTAAAAAGTGACATGACACATCTTGATTCGCCTTTGGTGACCGCATAGAATATGTAGAGGTGATTTTAATGTTGCTATAGAAAGTAACTTTTTAGCATAAAAATTTCTTGAAAGTATGAAAAAAATACTGGCTAAATAGAAAATGTGGTCGCGGGCTAAAAAGCAAAACAGTAAGAAAGTTGTCTCAAACGAAGCCCAAGGATAAGTTTGGGGCAGATTTCTCGATGCTTAGCTTTTTCAAACAACAATCATAATTTTATTTAACTATTACTTTCTTGTTGATTTATCACTCTTTTTAAGAAATATTTGAAATTGAAATTTATAAATAAGAACATATGATTAAACAATTCACTATTTATATATATATATATATATATATATTATTATATATATTATAATATTATTATATATTATTATATTATATAATTCAATTATTTAATATGAAAAGAGTATAACGCGCATGACTTACGAGCAGAATCTTTGATCCTGTCAGGAAACCGGACCGCCCTTGATTGAAGGAAGCCACTTATCAGCGCATATCAAATGACGAGCATTTACTTGAGTGGATAAAGGTAATGAGTACAAGCAATTATTTGTTCTCATTATTCTGTGGTGGAAATGTGGAATAGATGAGGCTGAGTGGGATCTTCTCATCTTTCAATTCGAAATAAAATTTTAATATTATATATATTATTAAAATTATAAATACTTATATATAAACATCATTATTATATTATTAATTTATCATATTTTTAATTATTTTATTAATACGATAATTAAAAAAAGCCTTTGCCTCATATGCTCAAAACCCTCGTCTTCTTCTTTTTCAGATCCCAAATTCTCGAAACCCTTACTTTCTCTTTCCTCGATAGTCAAAGCTTCCAAACAACATACTAAAGAGAGTTACGTATCACCTATAGATTCTGGAAACATTTGAAATCCTCGTATTCACCTCTAATGCATCCAAATTCTCAAAAGCCTACTCTTCTTCTCCTTCCGCATCTATTAGTAGAAGCCTTCACGGAACCATAAAAAAAATGGTGTGACATTGAAAGATGCATGATTGAAGTGATATTGATGGGAGCCCCACAACTACAATATTTACTTTCTCCAAAAATTAAATCTTAAAATAAAGATATTCATATATTTACTTGTTTAAAAAAACTATTGGAAAACTGGTTCATTTTATTTACATGATTTTAGATTTAAATTATGTTAGAATATGTTATTTATTTCAACTTAGTTTTATTGTTTATTATTTTCAATATAGGTAAGTTCATATTCTTTTCAAAATAAGGATTTAATCTAAATTAATTTCATATTCTTTTCAAGATGAAAAGGGAATATATTTCTTTTTCAATGAAAAATCATATAATATAAATATTATCACAATGAAGCATCATTATAAAGTTGATATTTTTATGGCTACTAAACATGGTTTTTTCTTTGCAGCTTTTTTTTAATTAAATTTTTTTTGTTTAATCTTTTTGGTCTACTTAGGTATATTTAAAAACTTTCATGCTACTAATTTAGATTTTTATGGCTACTAAACATGATTTAACTTACATGCATTTTATAATTTCTCATTCATTATTTTAAAAATTAATAAAATGTATTTGGTGGGAAATAAAAACTTCGTCAGTAGAAGAAAGACCAAAATTTGGACCAATATAGACATGATTTGAATCCAAATCACGTCTTTCATATGAAATAATTTTTTCATTATTTTCTAAAATAATTTTTTAGTGAAAATTTTTTACTAAAAAATTATTGTAGAAAGCAATAAAAAAATTGTCCCAAATAAGTTTACAAATATATATAAGAACTGCCTAAGAATATTATGATATAAATTATTAAATTATATAAGAATAAATTTGACAATTATTAGATTTACTTTAACACTAGCATTATGGATAAAGAATCTTTATTACACTAATTTTAAAGTAAATATAATAATTTTTAAGTCTGTCATGAAATAATTTATATCAAATTATATTGACAAATATTTTTAAAAATATAAATATATTTAATATAGTTATAATATCTATTTTAATGAAAATAAAAGTAATTATACAATTCAAACGAGCCGTCTCCATCTTTAAATCGAATATAGAAATTTTATTGAATCCAAAAAGTATATTTCTAAATATACTTAACGCCATATTAGTATAAAAAGTGTGAATGCATTCTTAAATTTGTTCTCTTTAGGACAATTTGATTTTTTATGGCATAAATTTCAAACATATAATTTATTATTTATAACTTGTTTACATTTCAAAAAAAAAAAAAAATACATCACTTATTGCTACAGAAATTGAATCAATGCCTTTTCAAAAAAATTAAGACCTTTCGAATTAATGAGGTATTTGCTCTATTTTTTTAATTTTATATTATGAAATAACTCAAATAAGTATATTATTTCTTATAGAATAGTTTTTTAGCAAAATAATATAATATAACAAAAATGTAGGCAAAGATTGAGAAGGAAAGCTTTAAATCCTTTTCTTTAAAAATTTCTTGCTAGGCTAAGGCTTCATTTGGAACAGCTTTTATCTTGCTTTCTAAAACAGTATTTTAATAAAAAAAATTTCTAATTCAAGAAGCTTTTATACTAGAAAGCTATTTTAAAAAGCAGCAAAAAAATTATTCCAAACGGAGCCTAACTTCAATGCTATAGCAAGGAAAAAAGTCCAAAATGCTTTAGAAGATAGCAACAAGAAAATGCAAGTCCAAAATCCATGCGCTCATGAAAGCTGTAGGAAATATATAGTCAATAATCATCAAGCTGCAATCCTTGCAAAATAGCAAGTTTATAGTACAAATTAAACAAGTTTGATAAGATCTTATATTAAGAACTCATACATTCAAGTTTTTTTTTTTTTTTTGATAGATAAAATCACAAAGAAAAGTTTGGTTGGTCCTAAGATATCAGCACAAAAGAGAATAAAGCAATTCTCTGAACCTCATCCAGAATCCACATAGCAGCATCTTATAGTACGAACTCATACATTCAAGTATCTTTTTTTTTATATAAATTTTTTTGATAGATAAAATCACAAAGAAAAGTTTGGTTGGTCCTAAGATATCAGCACAAAAGAGAATAAAGCAATTCTCTGAACCTCATCCAGAATCCACATAGCAGCATGAGAGCCTCATTACCTGCAAGATACAATGGGAAAGCAAATGCTCGGATAGATGGCTGCCACAGAAAGCAAAGCCCTTGCAAACTGCACTTAAATCTGCTTTGAATTATTTAGGCCCAATGTCCTTCAGTGCGCAGATCTGTTCTTCTCCCATGGCAGACATAACAGAGACCACCAGGTCCTTCCCCTCCGCAAAGCTACTTGTGATCTATATCAAGAGGTTTGATTTTACATTTCATTCTTTTTATTAGAACAAAAAATTAAAAACAAATCATTATTACAGAACTTTCACCGAAGTGAAGAGACTGCCCAGCACTTTTTTTATTCTTTTGAAAAGAAGAGATTGTACAGCACTTTAAAAAAAAAAGAGAAAGAAAGATAAACAGGTAGTAAACTTTGGCTTTATCTGAGAATGGTACAGTTTCAAATTCAAATAAATCTGGCAGAAACAATGCAAGAGAAAAGAGACTTTCAGCTGCTTTTATTTTTGCCTGGATGTTTTCTTTGATTTTGGGGCTGTTTGGTTGCCAGCACTAAAAATTCAAAGGGATGTTGAAAACAATGTATTTGAAATATATATCGTACTTGAAATTTCTGTTTTTGATTAGAACTAATAAAAGTTAATACAAAAAATAAAGAAAAAACAACCTTGGCACAGAAATGACATCAAAGGTGCTAAAGGAGATGCTCTGCAACATGAGATAGTGAGATAGGCATCTACTTCACGGGGACAAGCCGAATCACGACAAGAGCTCGCTCAAGTAGGCTGAATCTCAACTAGAGAGGGCAAGCATCAAAAAGGGTCACAAGAGTAGGCGGCAATGTCACGACCGCGAGCTTTTAGCGGCGAGAAAGAATGAGAAATGGACACGATAAGGCTTTGCTAGTGCTAGGCTTCACAAGGTCGGCCGGGTAGTAGCATTTTATGAACATGAGAATTTGGAATTTGTCCAATTTAGATGGGTTTCAAATTTCTCAAAAAACAATAGATGTTCATTTTGAATGCCAATTTATTTTGCATTTCTTTTTGAAATGAAAAGAAATCAAATAAAATCTACTCCGAATACTTGCAACCAATTAGACCCTTTAATTCACATTACAGTTTCAAGTTCAAAGTAAATTAGGTAGAAAACACAAGCAAAACAGACTTGCAGTTCTAATTTGTCTTGATGCTTTCCCCACATCAACTTGCATTTTTCTAAGAATAGAAATTTATCCTAAATATTACAATAATTTAAAATACATGGTGGGTTATAAATAAGAAGGCATAGGGACAGTTACAAAGGAGGGCATGCGATCATTTATAAATCAACTTTCATGATGAGAGTTAGTGAATTAATCACTCCAAAAAGTTAACAATGTTAATTTAAAATAATGAAAACCAAGCATTCAAACGCTCATATTGACACAAGGAGTGTCCCTTAAGTGATGTCACAACCTAACCTGACTGCGAGTAAAAAGTAAACTAGGGTTGTGACTTAAGTCTTCGTTTGGGAGGACTTTCTTATGCTTTTCTAAAACAGTTTTTAGTACAAAAATATTTTGAACTAAAAATTTTTTTACTAAAAAGTTGCTTAAAAAAACAATAAAAAAGCTGTCCTAAACAAAGCCTATAACTAAACATCAAATTCACTATAAAATTTGGAGAATTTAAATGAAAGATAAAAAAATTGATCGACACTATGATGAAGAAAAATCTTACTTATAAATAACTAATATGAAAGGAAAAAAATAAAAAATATCTAGAGATTTTGATCAAATTAGATGCATAAAAAACATAAACAATATGATCTTAATTAAAGATGAAGACATCAAACAAAGATAAAAATATTACTTTGAAAATTAACTAAGGATGAACTTTAAAAAATAAATTGTTTTGAAAAAGCATAAGTATATTTTCAGAGTTGTGTATGGAAAACCTTTTTAATAGAATTTTGAAGACAAAGAATATCATATTATTCAAGAATATTCATTTTAGTGCTAATATTTAAGAATAAATGTATTGTTCAATATTATTTTAACTATACACAAATTAAACTTATGAATCATATGTAACCAAAATATGAGAGATTATGGAACATAGGCTTAAAAAAATTATAAAATTTTGAATAATCAATTTGATTTCAAGCTATAAAGAACTATTATGAAAATGATTTTTGTGAACAAAATAAATGGTAAAAGTATAAAAAGCAAAGAAATAGTCTTTACGCCATTTTAATTGGTCAAAGAAAGCATATCATCCAATAGGGCTATCAAAAAGTCTCAATCATGTTCGATCAATTTTGGTTTCCATAATTAACTTGAAATCAACTTATTTTTATAAGTTGGTTTACTTAATGGGCTGAACACAAGCATGTTAGTGGCAACATGCATAAAAAATCATGCTGAATCTAAGTTGATTGAGTCAAAAATAGGGATGTTAAGATGGACACTGCAAAACTAGGAAAGGCTAACTAAGGAATGATTATTAGAGTGATAGATGAAGCGACTCGTACAAAATATAAGGTAACAGACTATAGAATTGAGAGATTTAGGCATATAGAATATAAGGGTAGGAAATATGCCCTTAGAGAAGCAAATGAAATTAATGAGGCATTGAATGAGAAGGGGGAGATGTCATGAATAGAGATTATGCAAAATGATTTGCAAAAAACTCATTAAATTCCTCAAACACTACTCAGCAAGAATGAATGAAAAATAAAAATTCATAAAGTCGACCTCAAATAGCTAAGGATACCAACTAAAGAAACAGCATGGTACAACAAAACTATCATATATTGCGCACATAAAATATACTCAGGACAATTTCACATTTCAACTCAAGGAAACTAGTTTTTCATAGAGCCGCTTCAGTTTTGTCAAAATTTTGTTTATAATAACCGTATTTGAAATAATTTACATGAGACATTGAATAGAGTAATTATATTTCAAGAAAATTCAATTAAATGGTTTATAGGTGGTTCCAATGATGAAAGTAGCAACCTACTAATACAATAAAATGTGCATTTTTCATTTTTCTATAACAATTAAATTACTTTTCTATTTTATACAAAAATGAACTTTTAACAAAGTTATCAACATCAGTTAAGCAAAGGTAGACAATAGTTGCATTCTGCTGGAAATACAAGCCGAGCCAGATGCTTCAGTGGCAACAAATCTTTTGAAGAAAATTGAAATGCAACCAGGACATACTACCCAAGCAGAAATTTATCACGTAGCATGACTCAACTTCAATCATTTACAAAATATCAAACATATTAGGCACTCAAAGCAACCGGCAGAAGAATCTATTATGCCACAGATGATTTCATGGGAATATGTTAATGAAAAATTTGCTGAAGTACTAGCCATTATTCAAGAATGAATCCACTGACCTGCTTCAGAAGATTTTCATCAGTGGGAAGCCTCAAATCATCCTTTGTTTCACCACTTTCTGTCAACAGACTCACCTAAATATACAACTCAACGAATTTAAATTAAATGTTAACAAACAACATCAAAATGGGAGCATAATAACATATTCCGACATACAAAACCATCATTGGAAATATCAATTAGTTGATAGTCAGTACGATTGACATGAGGGACCTGAAAAGAATTCAGAAAGAATTGTGACTACCATAAAAACATACATAAATACAGTTTTGAAAAACACAAAGGGCCTTACGTCACAGTTGTGAGATGATGGTACAATATCCTCAAGCTTCTTGTTGTTGAATATATCAATGGCCACAAAATGGCATTTTGCATGGCCGTGCTTACCAGTTTTAGAGGTCGAGACTTCAACAACCTATAATGAGATAACAAATATCATAAAAGCTCACCAGCTGAGACTAAAAAATTATTCACTCTAACATGAGTTGGCACTAACTTGACAATCTCATTAGAAATTAAGCACATTGCACCCCAAAAAAAACATACATACCACAAAGAAAACAATCTCAAATTAACAAAAGAAATGCATCTCATTATAGAGAACAATAAAAAGCTTCATTAACATAATGAAGAAAACTAAAAAAGAGCAAGGTAAATCAACAATCAGGAATACACTGTAGACATATCCTTACAACCAGTCCAAAGAAGAGCTAAGCAGAAGAGCATTAAATGAAACACCCAGAATTAAAGATCAAAAAAGCATAACTAGATCTGGATCCCATTTCCCAAACAAACATGGCTATTTTAAGCAAAATTAGAAAAAAAAAAATCTAAACCAGAGTAGTCGGATAACAAGTTGACTCAAAGTTGAACCAAAATGTAACAAATATTGAAAAAAAAAAATCAAATAGAATAAATAAAAATCGATGAAGGTGCTGCAGAATTTTGAACCAACAAGAAATGTCACTGTGAATGGCCCCAGAAATCGGTGTGTAAAAGCTCCAACTTATAAGTTTTAGGTTCCCTTCAACTCTTTGAGGAACGGACTTAGGATTGGGTTTACTTCAACCCTTTGTAAAGCGGATTTTTCTGTGTTTCCCAATAATAATAGTACTACTTTCCATGATCCTCTATAACCAAAACATGCATTTGCCGGGGAAATTAATCATTCAATGTCTTACACAGATATAACTAGATTCCAAGAACATTTCTCATTTATTTCACTATGCAATATACAGCTCATCTGCTGAAATATAAAGGTTATAAACTTCATTTTGTGGAATCAACGCTTTTACAAATCAATGTCAGATCAATCGCTTCAAGTTCTCCAACTCGTTATGCTTATCAAAAACTCATTCGAACAATTAATTTCTCCTTCAATACTTTCTTGAATAAATAAGTCAACCTTGAGCTTCTGAGTATGAGTAAGATACCCACCAGATTTTTAATAAGCAACAGTGATCGTAGATATGCATCATTTGATGAGATAATTTGATGCTGATAGGAGCAGCAAGAGAAAGAAAATCAGGTATTTTAAGAGAGACCCAAAATAGAGAGAGGTGAGAGAGGATAAGATGAAGCTTCAATTTTCATTCATTCATCAAATGAATTGATTATAAACCATGAATACCTCTATGTATGGATATAGGTTTACAATATATGATCAACTCAAATTGAATCCAAATCATACCCTATCTAAACCTGCTTAATTCATTTCAAAGAGATAATTAATGCCCATGTCAAATTAAAATAAAGCTATAAAATCCTAATATATATGAAATATTCGAAATTAATCCTAAACCAAATTTCCTAACATTCATCAATTTCTCTAGGTTAGATAATACTCTTAAGAGTTGCAAATAAGTTCATTGCAAAGAAGTAGGGTGGTTGTGATGGAGGAGGAACTGTTGTGATCTATTGAATCATCAAGACGCACATACTAATCATAGAAAGTTGTATGTCATAAAATTGGACTCAGACATATCAATGAATCAAACATCCTTCCAGCAACAATCTTATAAAATATCTCATAGTTACATGGTGATGGCATCAATAGTAGCACAAACCCAAGACCCTGGAACCATATAAAACAAAGTGATGGTGACAAATGTAGTTATATCAATTGAGATTGGAGAGCAACAGTACTAATGACCTATAACAAAATATCTTATGCTCTCTATCGCTCAATTTAGGCATAGACTCATCAAGCTCACAACCTTCTCAGGGTCAACCATCGCATCATGCAAAAATTCAAGAACATGTAGGTTAGAAGATAACGGGATTGTTGGAGTAGGTGGAATATTATGATTTGAATTGGTCGGACAAGATGTCCAATAAGTTCATAATTTTTTGTCTAATTAAGATAGGCTCGTTCTTAACTTTACATAACTTTTACTTATGATTTTAGGTGGATTGGATGTTGCATAATTTGAAGTTGATGAAATCTAGAAAAAGCACTAAAAAACCCTCATAAGGTTTTTAAACATAATCAAATGTATCATCAACTTTATCATCTAGAACGTCCTAGCAATATTTTTGTCCAAAAATCTCAAGCTAGATTTAAATGATATTCAAAATACTACTCTTTAGGTATAAGATTATGACCATGATAAACATTTCAACAAGAAAATAATATTGAAACTACATGGGGTGTGATTGTGTTAAGATATATCCTCCACATATAAACAATGTGACCCCATAAATTATAATACTATATAAATCTATTTTATTTAAATTTCAAACTAAATATAATCCAAAAGGAATAAGGATTAATAATAATAATTTCATATTAAAATAAAGTTAAAAATGCTAAATAAAAACTAAGCCTCCTTAGACGGCATTTTTCCAAGAGAAGCCTCATTTGCTCAAGCAAGCCAATTAAGATTAAAGCAAATTAATAAAATTAGACCACAATGAGATCACAATGAGATGTTCCTAGAAACCACTCACTTCTTTAACCTTACATATCAAGCTTGAGGAAACAATATGGCTAAGTTGAGAATATTAAGATGGTACTTCACTTGCTTCCTCTTAATGGAGAGGGGGTCCTTCAGGCCAACAATCACAGTTTTGAAGAGAAAGCTTAAGGGGTTGATGGAATTTTGCATATTTAAGAAGCTCTCAAAATCATTAGTTTGAGGTCATGATTCATAAAAAGTTTGTTTCACTTGTCCTTGGAGAGTAATGAATCTCAAGGATTAAAATTAAGATAACCCGAGAGCTTTCGTTGTGACAACTATCACAATAATGATTATCAGCAATAAATATATTTCACTTTTGTGCATGTATCAATCCTCCTTAAAGAAGTAAGCTCAATTGATGAAGAAGTTAACTAGTAATGATGCTTACTGGAGTTCATCAAGGAGCAAACAACCAATCATTTTATTCTACAACAAGGAAAAAAACCCTACCTTCAACCTTGAGGACAAAACAAACCTTTTCTATCCATAACTTGCCCTTGTTGTCTTGAGTAGAACTCTTGCTCAAGAATTATTGATGCAGTCAAAAGCAACTTAGGGGCAACTAATGTGCATGCTTCTCAGGCTTTCATGTAAAGCTATTGATGATAAAATTACAAAAGATCCTTTAATGGATGATTAACAGATATAGCAAGATGGTGTTCAAGCCTCTTTGAAGAAACGGTTATAATTGGCATGGGAGATCGAGACAATTTCTTTCCATTTATTGATAGATCCCAAAGCACTAGGTAGGAGGAGGTTGGTGCCAACTCTTAAAAAATGGATCCAATGCCTCATTGTCTTCATAGGGGATAACCCCTCTGGTCATCGAAGGGTATCAGATGAGCTTGTTACGAATCTCTCCACAAAAAGCAATAGGATGTTCCCATACATAGCAACTCTATCGCATCATAATTATTAAGTGTTGGGGCTTAACGTACATAAATAAGCTATATATATTGTGGTCGAGTATGTCCAAATCTAGCTCAAAATCCCTCCGTTTCAAGTTGAACTTGAATTCTACTCAAAGTGAAGCTAATTTGAATCAAGACAACTTGACTATATATATATAATCTGACAAATCAATTCTTAACATGCATCTCACAGAAGATATTCCGAAGGGAATCCTTCAATGTAAAAGTCAAATACTTAAGGAGTTGTTTGATCTAATTAAACTAGAGCTCTCTCAAAGAACTAGTCGACTTTATAGCTTAAATTCAAACCTTGAAAATTCTATAAATAATTCTAAATCAACAATGCTTAATGATGGGACAAATTATGTCTTTGGTCCGATTTTATAATTATAGTAAGGGTTGAAAGATTAGGAAAACATGATATAAGAAATTCATAATTGAGTCCATGGTTGTTACACAAAGGATTTGGTAAGTCTAATGCAGAATTGATCATTTTAGGATTGCATTGTGCCTTCATGATTTGGAGACCATAGAAAACATCATGATGATTCGCCTTTCATGAGCATATTAGCTAGTTCAATGACCAACATACCCTTCACTTAATCAAGGAATGAAGAATGTCTAGCCATGTCATCCTTAAAATATATATAATACTTATCTGATGAACAATGTGCATATGAAAGAAATTTGTGGCGAATCCAAAATTTTCTCATTCAAAGTATTTGATAAAACCCATATATGAGTTGATTTAAGAAAAAATAGAAAATTAGCCTACACCAAAACATGGAAAATATCAAGTTTATAGCATACAAATAATAGCATTCCTATTTCGAATATATATAATTAGATTTCCTTCCTTGGTATGAATCCTTGGGATTCTAATTTTCTTCCTTAACATGACATGATTGTTGCAAAAAGGATTTGCTAATGCAACACCGATCCTTTTAGGATTATTTTAGTGTTAACATCATTGAATCACCTTTGATGAACATATTAAGTAGATCAATGACTAGTGTACCCACCACTAATGAAGGAAAATGCCTAGCCACATCATCCTCAAAATATGCATGATAATTATCAGATGATCAATATGCATATGAAAATAACTTGCGGAGAATTTAAAAAATCTTTCTTACTCATTCAAAGTAAATGATATAAGCCCATATATAGAATAATCTGCAAAGAAAATAGGAAAACAATCTACACCAAAACAAGAAAAGTTTTTGCAAGTATACAAATACAAATAATAATGTTTCTAATTGGAATATATATAATCAAATTCCCTTACCATGAAACTTTGGGATCTTGAGTTCCTTCATTGGCAAGAATCAATGGGATTTGAATTTCCTAAGCATAAATTTATGGGCACCAACGCCCCCCTAAAGTTAGGGAATAGATTATTTCTATTTCAAACCTAAATGAAATTTGAAGACCTCCACTATTTAGTCCTTTACCTAGCACATTTGTAGCTATTTAGCCGAACATTATCTCAAAACTTATTTTTTCTCTCCATCATTTCTAGTTGAAAGAATATCATCAACATA